GGAGAGGGAAGCAATGAGTTTCTACGCTGAAGATAACCCACCAGCATCCATAGGTTCTTCTACTTCTGGTGGTCCAAAAGGTCAGTACAAGCTTTAGGGTAAGACCTAGTTGTATTTAGGCCTAGTATATTTTTAGTCAGCAGAATGGCTAAAATTATAAAGTTAGGGCCAAATCTTTGCCCTACTAGTTTATATAAAAAATGAAAACATTAATTTTATAATGCTCTACACAAGAGTTTGTTGAGGCTTTGACAATTACACTGAATGTAATGTTCTATGAGAGTACTGGATGTAGTAACAGCTTGATTAGTTTACTGAGTAAAAAAAAATGTTTTCTTATTGCGTTAGCCAAAAGGCGGGAATTTTGGAAGGATTTAAGAGGGCATTTTCTTTTTGTCAATATTGTCTTTATTGTTGTAGGCCTATTGGCATTTTACAACTTTTACTCATGAAAACCTATCAAGTTGAACAAGTATCAACCTTCTGTACTCTTTTCAGAGGGTCTACCAGAGATGTCATTATGGGGTCACCTCCAGTCTCTCTCACAAAGAACCAGACCGAGTTCAAAAGAAGATGCAGTGAAACAACATGTCCAGGCCTACATAAATTCTCCTTGCATACCAATGCAAGAAAATCCATGTTCATGGTGGAAACAGCATTCTCAATTATATGGACCAATCGCTTCAGTTGCAAAGCGTTATCTGGGGATTCCTGCCACTGAAGTAGCAAGTGAGAGAATCTTCTCGAGTGCCGGAAATGTGGTGAATGAAAGGCGCAGGTGTTTAACCCAGGAACACATTAGTGAATTGGTTTTTTTGCACCATAATATAGATATTTAAGATATTTCGAAAATGCACAAGGGACGTTTGGGTCATGGTTATGCACCCTCACAATCTCAAATCAAAATCATTTTATGATACAAAGTACAAACGCTAACTAAGCTAACTAACTGCCATTGGCGTTCATTTTCATGTTACATGAAACATTATAAACATAACCACACTTTTTCATGAACTCTGGAAATACAAAATGTTGAGTGTTTGGTAGGCCTATATTTTTATAGTGCAATATAATTATTTTCTACATACATGGTTAAGTTATCCATTCAATTAGTTTTGTTGTTATCTGGTTACAGGTTGAGTTATCTGTTTAGGTCTAGGTTATATTTTTATATTCAAGATGTTGAGTGTTTGTTTGGTATATTTATATTTTTATAGTAGGCTATAATATAATTATTTTCTACATGCGTGGTTATGTTATCCATTCAATAATTTTTGTTAAATTTAGATAGTTTTTGAGTGTTCATGTTTTACTGCTGTAACTTTCTCTTGATCTCAGTAACTATCTTTACCATAGGCCAAGTGGCTTTCGATTACCATACTTTTGGGTTAGTTATAGCCAATTCAATTTTACAAAATAGGCTTACACACCTGAAACAAGGCACTGCCTAGTACTCATTTGAAATATAGCCTAATATAGCAGATAAAAAATGCTAAAGTTCTAAGTTAGGCTATATCTTTTGCGTAAGGAAGTAGTTTCCTGATTGAGTTATCTATTTACTGTACGTAGGCTTAAAAATATTTTTATATTCACAACGGTTTCTTATGTATTTTTTATTTGTTTAGCTGTTAATGTTTTTATTACTTGCCTAAAATAACATGGGCTGAACATTTTCATCTTGATCTCAGTTTCATGTTCCTAATTTTCTAGTATTATCTTATGATTAAATGTTTAAGATGATTTAACATTTTGTAGGCCTATAATTTCAATAACCACTGCCTTTTTTTGCCTGGTAAAATGTTGATGCAGGGTTTTGAAGTGTATCTTTTTGGTTACATTATTTATTTATGTAATATTGCTACCAGTTATTATTTTAAAAAAATTATTTCATCTCTTAGTTTTGGCATTTTTAATTGGATATCACTTTCAAAGTTCGTTTCATTTTCGAGTATGCAAGATACCATACAACAGTTTGTTGTATAGTTTTTTATTTATTACACTGTTAATTGTTTTCATCGATATTCCTTAAATAATATAGCCTAGTCATTTTCATTTTGATCTCGGTTTTATGTTGTTTATTTTATAGTAGGTAGCTGTTGATTTAATTTGTTAAGATGATTTAAGGAGTTGTATTAATTTCAACAAAATACTTCCTTTTTAGGAAATTAAAATGTAGTGTCAGGGTAAAGTGTGTATCCTAATCTTTAGTATGGATTTTTATTTGTTACATTATCTATTCATGTGTTATTGTTACCGTTATTTTTTCATCTCCTAGTTTTGGCATTATCAACTTGATCTCAGTTTCCAATGTTTGGTTAATTTTCAAATAGGCTATATTTCCAAGATAAATCTATTGTTTTGTATTGATATATTATTTACTTGTATAAAATAAATTTGCATTTTTATTAAGAATGTTATCTTGTATTTCCCATTAAACCTTTAATAAATAGGCCTAGTAGGATAAGCAAACTCATTGAATATATAGGGGCTTGGTAAAATACTTACTTATTAAACACCTATTTGAGTAAGTTTAAACAATTACATGTATTTTGTATCTTTATTTTTGCGTAAAAACAGGAATATACCACAAACTTTAGAAGGTTAAGGTTCGGCTCGAAAAAGCTCGAAGCTCGGAACTTTTTGCTTAAGTTCGGCTCGGCTCGGCTCGAACCTAAAAATCACTATTCGCACACCCCTAATTCTATTTGAGTACAAAAATCTTGTAAAGATTTCCTGTTACGACGCCAGTCTTTGACAGTTGTTAGTGACACCCAGCTCGTCACTATCACAGATGCACCTTTGTCAAGACGGTCCAATGCACTTAGTTTCTGTTCCACAGTAACAACGTTCTGTTTTCGTTTTACCGATGCCATTTTGTACTTTACTATACTGTATTTCTATTTCATAAAAACACTTTACTGTATTTTAAAATGACTATTTTTACATTGTAATTAAAACTGAAGCATGGTCCGATTAATTAAATAAACTAAACAGCCAAACACACACTTCCACACACTTTCTGATATTACTGTATAAATTTTCCGCACAGAGAAAAAATTAGATGTGCTCGCAAGACGTACGATGATGACAAACTGGCAATATGCAATATTGTTTGGGATAGCTATAAAATACTAATTGTTAGTCCCATCCTGTGGAGATAAGTGAATGTTCCCATAGCCCAGCGTGGGAGCGGAAATGCCGAAATTCCTAGAAAGCGGCGGTTAAACCGAGCTGCTCCCAAAGCAAGGTCGGTTAAACAAACTGTAATATTTTGCGATCAAGGGCGGATAATCCGATTATCGGTTAATGCGAGGTCGGTTAAGAGGGGGTCTACTGTAATCATAAACCTGAGGAGGTAGCGTTTAATTGCATTGTAAATACAAGGAACTTTGAACGGCTGTAATTTTTGACTCATTTGTCCGTTTGAGTTTGCGTTTTTGGCATAATATTTTACTAACAGAAACCTTAAATATCATGTGGATTTTGACCGATGCTTACATTTATGATTTTCTCCTGACTCCTAGCAGGCCGTCGCCCCTGAGGAGGTAGCGTATCACTGAATAATGTTTTAAAATGGCATTTATGCCCAGTGATATTGTACCAAGGTTTTATAGCTATATTTTCTTTATTATTTTTTGAAATATTTAACTGTCCCGGTACGTTTATATTAGTGATGGGCCGATCCAAGAAAATGTCGGTTCCGGATCCAGATACACAACGTCATAAGGGTGGGTTGAAAAAAACTTAATATTAACAGAATGCCAATTTAAATCATACTGTTTAAAATTATCCCCTCAGTTTTGGGGGACAAAAGAGTATCTGTGTATATTTTACTATCCTTCGATCTTGAGTATCATGCTATATCGTGGTTTTTTGCATGCAGCATCAAATTTTTTATGCCTGGATCACCTCTTGCTAATCTCTTCCTTAAATTTGTTCCAGGTCTACAGTACTGATATCCGGGTGTGAAGTTTTACAGGTAAAATACCTGCGTCTGTGTACAAGAAGACTATCTGTGTACTAACTGTGTTCTAACTTAGAAAAATATTTGATGGGGTGTCTTGACTTTTTATTCACCCTGTATGGACACAGATAGTCTTCTTGTACACAGACGCAGATATTTTTACGCAGAGTTTATTTTGTAAAACTTCACATACCCGGATATCAGTACTGTGGACCTGGAACGAATTTAAGGAAGAGATTAGCAAGAGGTGGTCCAGGCATAAGAAATTGGATGCTTCATGCAAAAACCACAATGTAGCATACTCAAGATCGATGGATAGTAAAATGAGATCAGTGGCTGACAGCTTGAGAAAGGGTAAAAGCTTCAGACTCTAGTATTGGTGAGAGAGCTGCCGCCTGGGCAGCTACTAACATAATGAAAACTAACATAATTGCAAAATTTAGTTGGGGTAAAGGGCAGACTTCAAAAATTAAACCATTAAGTAGTTTGGATATAGTAAAACTTGCTGCTGATTTGAAGTTGCCTAAATTTTAGAGGAGTCTTCTTGTACACAGACACAGATAGTCTTCTTGTACACAAACACAGATAGTCTTCTTGTACACAGACACAGATAGTCTTGTACATGAATACAGAAGGCTTTATGTTAGTAAAAAAATCGGAAAAAATTAGATCCATCAAAACCGTATCCAGCCCAAGGTTCTAGCTCGGATCCGGCAGATCCGGTAGTGCGATATCCGGATCCCACCATCACTAAGTATATTTAACTATGTATGACTCTTAAGGACAAAGAATTATATATTGGTTTTAATGCAACACAAATTTAAAGCCTAGAACAGTTCTTAGAACCGAAAAAATTAATGAATTAATTTTACATTTCTTAAAAAAATTTTAATAGATAATTTTCCTTCCCTTACATTTCTGCTTATCCATCCTTGCCATGACCGGTTGAAGTATATAATAATCAAGTCTAACTTTTAACTCCTGCATATTTATTCCTGTTTGAAAATGTAAAATTCATGCATTTTGACATTTGCAGATTTTGAAACAAGAGAAAATCATTTCAAGAATGCTCCTGTCAGACATGTTTTTAGACTCAGTCGCTGCTGCTTTCCAAGAAAGTGATGAGGCAGGGATAATAATTCCCAATGTTTTGGACACGGAATTTTACAGAACATGCGTCAATGAATTTGAAAGCATTGAGGATATGTATTGGAATGACGTGGGACCCGCAAACTATAGGTATTTAATTTACACATCTTTCAACTCAAAGATCATAAGTTCCCAGACATATTTCCTTTAATTCAGGGGATTAGCTGACACCCAACACATCAGCTTATAAGTTATAAGTGCTCCCAATATTTAGTGATTTTTTCTTTTGCTATGATAAAATTACTAATTAGCGATGTCCACTTCAAATGTACTCTACATCAAGCACAATAACACCAACTTACAAAGTCTAGAAGAACAGAAGACACTGCTAGGTGCTAACCATGACAATCAAGCTACAAGAATTGTGCAAATGTGATGGTACATCTGAGACAAGTGTAAGGGTAAAAACACAGTGGAGCAGGGCAGGTTGCCTAATTGCATAGTCTCTGGTTACCTGGATGGAAGCTGGACACACACACAGTGGCGCTCAGTCAGTCGCTTGTCAGCTGACCTTTTACTTAATAATTACAGTTACAGTACCCAAATAAATTAACTATAAGTTATATCTGATGAATTAAAAAATAATGGGAATCTAACGTCGTGGGATGAGAGGGGAAAAAATACTGGATTGTCTGAGTTTTAATTTTTGCAAAATAAATTTGATTTCTGTATAATCATGGAGTTTATTACTGTATTTTGTAGAGTCGTCAATTGCAATCCCTTTGAGCCACATTAGTATTAATTACCCTGTGCATGGCTCTCTCGACCCTATTAATATTACAACCCACATGCCAAGTTTCATTTACATAAATTCATTAACAATCATTTTGTCACACTTTAATATTATTCTTTAGAATAACAAGGGGGTTGAGAACACTGGTTTGCTGCTATAGGAACCACCTGCAGCTTAGGCTATGTTTAAGAATAAATGGTGATTTTGGTTTTCAGAGAACCTGAAGTCCAAACAAAAAGTACCGGGCTTAGTCATTGGTGTTAAATTCTAAATTCATTTGCTTTTTCATAAAAAAAACCGTTGAGAATGTGACAAATATGAGGGTCTAAATGGGGTTGGCACCACAAAAGCACACAAATGAAAACCTCTGCTATAATTTTTCCACATCCATCATTTTAATTCATGTACAGAAAACAATAATTAAACAAATCATATCAACCAACACAATAAACAACACCCTGTACATTGGAATACTCAGTGAAAAGTTCCATGTGGAACATACAATTTTGAAGACTTGGCTGTCAAGTGCTATTGCGCATGCCCCATTCGAGCCATCCCCGCTTACAGCTAACAAACAATCGATTTGGCAACTCTTGCCACTTGCCGCATAGCTTACTGCTACCTCGCCGGCTACCTGCTAGGCGCAACTGTGTACATGCTTGTAACAACGCGTGCTTTAATTTTACATCGCAGTAAGAGAGTCAGCGACCAGCCAGGCAACCAGCTACCTTCCCTGCACCGTTAAGTCAACTGACAAAACATTGTCTCTGTAAGTTAACTTTTAAATACAATATTGAAAAACAAAACCAAAACTTAAAAAATAATAACACCCTTTTTACAATTTAATAACATACTTTTCTTGCAGCAACGTCTTTATAAAACCTTATCATCTGCCATTTAACTAAAATAAATAAAAAGTTATATTTCCCTTAAAATATACTTAAGTAAACGAAACATCAATTGCCAAATCAGCTTGATTAACTATCAAGAAGGTATAAGTGACGTCACAGACAACTTAATCCGAATTTCCAATTCCAACACACTAGTTTTACACATCCCCACCAACTCTATAAACACATCAGCAAACTTGCCACTAAGACAGACTGACAAGTGACCTGCACTTGAAACCTTAGCAACCCTGACCTAGGCACTCTGCCTACCTACAATAAACATATGCTTACATTGACATGACACTTGATTGTCAGTTAATCAAGTACAACTATTAACAGAAAGCCATTTTATTTTATTAACAGATTTTAATTTTAACTGAACCTTAGGAACCAGTCAAACCTCCAACTAAACTGCATCCCTTTGCATCTGCACAATACTTAATCAGTAGCCAGTTTCCTTTTAATACAATATTTTCTATAAAAATACCCCCGCCGCAGCAAACCTGCCGACTAAGCGAATTTCCATTTGTCTGAATTGATTTTCAGTTAAATATATTTTAATAATAGGTTTAACGAGTACCTAGGTTTGCTGCTACAAGGAAACTAAAAAAGTGTGTTTTTGAGTAAAATATTGATAGCTTAGTACAAAATAAATAAATTTGCCAAGTTTGATCAAAATATATCCATAAACAAGCAAACTACAACATTTGACAATATTCTCCATAAGAATAACATGGGAATTTTAAATTTACAATTTTTTAAATTTTCTCCGTTACTAATAATCGAACAAAAATACTTTTATATACTAAATTATTTGTTTTTTTAAGCTCTTTAAAAAGGTCTAAAGAGAAATCGGGAAATTTTGTGTTTTGAAGGTCAAAAGTGAGAAAAACCAATTTTTACCCCATAAAACCCCCCGTAAAGCCCCGTTCCCATGGTCCGATCGTGCTGGTTCGCGAACTCATTCAAGTTTATCTCGCTTTACACCTTTAACCCAAATTTCATCAAAATCGGACAAAAATTACTCAAGTTATCGCGTTCACGGACGTATATATATATATATAAGTCTATATATATATATATATATATATACATATATAAAAATTTGAATGAATGGTGTTTTTGGCCTCTGGGGACATCAAAATGAAAAAGTAAATTGGTCCTGGGTCTAGGTCTTACCGTGCCACCTACGGTAATAGCTACTTCCCTATAGGGAAATTCGCTAATAAACTCTGTAAGAGAGAACAAACCATGAGCCATATAAATCCATCAGAAAATGAATCCAAAGCACTATGGCAAGTAATAAATAATAATAACCAACAAACAACACCCGATTCAGCGTAATTGTGAAGGAGAAATAATAGACAATCCACAAAAAATAGCCACTTGTTTCACACTTTTGGTTCCACATTTCGAAATTTCGTGAAACCTGTTATTTTTTTTACTTCTCATGATGGCAAATGTCTGCAATAATGACTTGGATAACGTTATTCGTTAATTCACCATAAAAAATGAAATTTTTGTGCAAAACTGTTAACTTTATGAAAAATAAGACATCAAGACAAATACTTTACAAATATTATTTAGTAAATCATTGAATACAAAGGAAGTTATCACAGGCTTAACTAACCTGACTTAAATGTTATTTGTGGAACTTCTCATCTTGGGCTTGAGTATTTGTAAAAAGTTGAGAAGTTACTAAATAACTCGAAACTTGAATATTTTAAAGCTCCTAGAAATGAAATTCATTTAATGACTAAAACAATGATACACCATACTTTAGTATGACATAATCTCTTGTAGTTTTGTACTGCTTCAACATGTGATGAGTTTTCTTCTTTGAATCATTCTTATAGTGGCTTTAATTGGTATTTTATCAGGTCCCAAGCTTACATAATCTGCAGTAATCTATAGCCAAATGTTTTTCCAAAGTATTAAGAAAAAGTTAATAAATAATAATTTTAAAACTTAAAAAAAAAATCAATAAGACTGAAACTGCCAGGCTTTGGTGAAGCAGTTGTGAAAAGTGACAGCATGTAAATAGTTGTTCAAACCCTTCCTCCACAATGTGTGGATCTTGTGCTCGAAGTCAGCTGATTTTATGGCTGTAAAATCATCATTGTCCTGTAAAAACTATACTTCTAGCACCAATTTAAGCTTTGGTGGAAGTTGAAAAATGCCGTTTTTACAGTGTGGATATAATTTCAATTTGTTTGTTTGCATGATTGATTTGAGTGGCTATTTTCAGAAACTACTCTACAACGGAATTTGAAATTGAAGGACCCCATCTTTTCTTTGGAGAAAGTCTTTTTTACATTGGGAACATAGTCGACTATCTGCTTAGTAATGATTTCCTGAACATCCTGACTAGAATAACTGGAGCTACTTATGCAGTGTTTGGACGTAAGTTGATTTTAAACTTAATTGAATTGAGTGATAGAAATTACAAATCAAAGAAATTATTTTTATAAGATAAAGTAATTCAATAAATTATTCGCTAGGGAACGAATAATGATTTTATTCTACTGTTTGTTTGAATAGTGCTGAAAGTCTTTTTGTTCTGCTCCATCAGTTATCTGTTAAAGTCTTATTTTCAGACAGGTTTTGATGTTACTCGTACCTTGTTTGTATACTGTAGAATCTTGGTCTGCAATATCTTTGAATCAGCTGATGATTCGGATGGCTTTCAGGCCTTACCTTACAGCAATCCATTTAAAACATCAGTCAATATCTTTGCCAATTCAACGATACAATCATCTTTCAAGTTTGTTTTAATTATGTAGGCTACATACAAGTGCTTTGCTTTATTTAATCAACAATTTATAAATGTTAAAAAAGAAAACAGTAACAGTGACTTAAACCCTGAGTGGGGCGTTTTTTCGAGGATGCATATTAGACTTGCAAATTTATTTTTTTTATTGAAGCCTGTGGAAAAGTTAAGTTATATTTTTATAGTTATAATGGAACCTGTATCCTGAAAACTGGCCCTCTTTCTATCTGGGAACTGGCCAATGGTTAAGGCCCGGGCCATTTCCAGGTAGACCAAGGCCCCACTAGAAAAACAGGCCATGACGTCACACTTGTGGGTAGATTCCCATATCCCATATGTTTTTCGTAAATAAGCTGGCTGTTTACGTCTGGCAACTTTAGTACAACTATCCACTACTGAGACATGGTGTTGTGCAGCCCGCACTGCAGCATGGCCTGTTTTTCTAGTGGGGCCTTGGGTAGACGGAGGGGCGGTCAGGAGCCAGTTTTATGATACATATTATAGTCTTATTGTAAAGTTTTTTTTCTTAATGTAATTATATGAAGAATAAAGGAGACTTCTTTGGTACAAGAAACACAAAACTATACACAAAAAGTGAAATATTACACTCTAAATGGCATTATTTTTAAACAAGGCAGTTTTGATTTTGGAAGAAATTTGACTTCTAATGATATCTGTGTCAGTGGTATAATTATTAATGGACCTGGAGACATCTCTCCAAGTCCCAACTATAACCTATTGTATGTAAGCCTACTATTATAACAAAAATCCTTAAAATGCCTTATGCTATATTTTACATCCTTGTTTTTGCAGCATATGTTCCACCATCTGCAATGGTTGAGGTGCAGAGGTGGAAGCAAGGGAATTATACCCTTCTATGTGACAATGATATAGAAAGAGATCAAACTTCTATTGAAGTGACAGTTGTCTTTCATCTGAAGAAGGACCTTATCAATTCCTATGAAGAAAACGGACTGGTTACACGGACAAGAAAATACCCAAAAGTAGGCAACTATTATAAGATGTGTGTCTTTTGAATGGCCAGGTCCCCTTAGCAACTCCAAATTACAAACAAATTGTTTGTAGAAATTTCTTGTGTAAATTTTTTCCGTCTAAAATTTAAATGAAATTTCATATATTGACAAGAATGAGTTAAGTCAGGTGATCAAGTATTTTCCCTTACATGGTAAGGGAAAAGCAAATTATATTAAGTTAATTTTTATAACCAAACAGCTTGAACAAATTGCTTACTATTAGGGGTCTGCGGTACAGAAAATTTAAGGTCGGTACGGTTCGGTACGGTACAATATTTTGTACCTCGGTTCTCGGTACAAAATCGGTACAGTACGCGGCTACCCGTATTTTTGCGGTTTTCTGCTCAGAACTGTATTCAAACCATTATTTTAAACTTTAATACATGACATTACTATGAAAATGGATAGTATCCTACATTCATGGTTTTTTAACAACAATTACTGTACCACACATTATTAAAACAAAACCTTTTACTACTGCGAGGATTGTGTCAATAAAAATCACAGTTAAGCTAAAGGCTTTACCTATTTTACTCTGAGATACTTTGAATAGCCATGATAAAAGTGGTTTTAAAAATAGGATAAGAATTTTTAGGAATAAACATGTTCGAAACATTTATTGACAAGATAATTTCACACAACTGGTAAATTATTTCCAACCAACACAATGTCTAGTTGTTTTTTAAATTTTTTAAAACATATAAAAGCATTTAGTATGATGACAGTGTAGTTGCCAGCTGTTCACAGCAGACGACAATGAAAAACTGGAGGTTATGATGAAGTAATGGCAAAGAGCATCTTTTTTTATCAGCTTCAAAACTAGTTATAAGATGGATACAACTCTTGCAAAGTTTTTTTCTGAAACTAAAATTTGGATTATCACAGAGTAAGATTATTGTCTTACTTAATTTACAAAGTGTCTTACAAAGTTAACATCCACAATATCAATCATATCAATCATTAGTTTATCTCAGGCTCAATCCAATTTTCTTAGTATATTTTAAAGCTCTTCCAAAGAATCAAAAGACCCAGACCTAGACGTAATTATTTAGGATGGCCTATATAAATTGATTAGGTTACAACGAGGGTGGCAAAATCACTATCTAGTTCATAAGATTTAGATCGCATAAAGTACCTTCAACACAATAAAAAAATACAGGAACCTAAAAAAACATTTAAGCCTTAAACAGCCACATCTAACAATATAAGACAAGATACAGAACATGCAATGACATAATTAGAGACCGAGTAGGCTTGAATAACGGAAAAAAGTTATGCAAACAACAACAACTTTGCTTGTGGTTTCCTCAATAGAAAGATAAAATATCTATAACAAATATTTTAACTTATAAAATAAGATTGTAGATTAGTTACAAGTTTAATATGTAGTCATAAACAGTTTTATGGCAGTAGGCAATGACCAGCGGCAAATTTAACATTCACGAAAATACTGACTGAGTTAGAGATCATTTAACAGTCATCATAAAACTATTATTTTTATGATAAAATAGAATTGGGAAAAGTAGTAAAGAAATAAAAGTGATAAAACTCAACAGTTCTTGGAAGTACTTCAATACAACAATTATTGTCGTGATAAAATGTTAATGGATTTGGGACTGCTAATGGGTTTTTTATTGCATCATCACCCAAGTAATAAATTATAAAGATCGTAAACAAACATCTGATAAGACTTTTATGTGCTCGGAACCAACTGTCATTGACTAAGATAGTAAACTGAAAGTAATTTATTATTATAATAGGCTGTACCGAACCGAATTTGTACCATGTAAAATGCTGAACCAAACCGATGGCGGTAATTAAGCTTGTACCGTACCGTACTGACTTTTTCGTTGCACCGCAGACCCCTACTTACTATCTGTTTCTTGTTTCTTCCAATTCCTAAAATTTCCTCCTATTTTTTTTTTTTATCAAAATTAGGGATGGACGGGATTGTATTTTTAGTTCGGGACGGGACGGGACGGGATTTTTATTTCCTTCCCAATTTTCGGGACGGGACGGGACGGGATTTTTTTCTGTGCATAAAAAGAAAGTACTGTATTGCAGTTAGACATACGAAATCAATTTTTACCATTTTTGGCACTGATCTATAAAAGCCAAAAAATTGGTAACAATTTACAGGTACCTATAGTAACTTGTGACTCGCGGGTCACGGGGTGATCGTCTGTATGACTCAAGGTCACGGCGCGATATTCGTCATGACTCACGGTCACGGCGCGATCGTCGTCATGACTCGCGGTCACGGCGCGATCGTCGGTATGACTCTGCGGTCACGGGGTTATCGTCGGTATGACTCCTCGGTCACGGGGTTATCGTCGGTATGACTCCTCGGTCACGGGGTTATCGTCAGTATGACTCCGCGGTCACGGGGTTATCGTAGGTATGACTCCGCGGTCACGGCATGATAATCGGTATGACTCGCGATCACGGCTCGATGGTCAGCATGACTCCGCGGTCACGGCGCGATCGTCGTCATAACTCGCGGTCACGGCGCGATCGTCGGTATGACTCGCGGTCACGGCGCGATCGTCGGTATGACTCCGCGGTCACGGGGTTATCGTCGGTATGACTCGCGGTCACGGCGCGATCGTCGGTATGACTCGCGGTCACGGCGCGATCGTCGGTATGACTCGCGGTCACGGCGCGATCGTCGGTATGACTCCGCGGTCACGGGGTTATCGTCGGTATGACTCGCGGTCACGGCGCGATCGTCGGTATGACTCGCGGTCACGTCGCGATCGTCGGTATGACTCGCGATCACGTCGCGATCGTCGGTATGACTCGCGATCACGGCTCGATCGTCAGCATGACTCCGCGGTCACGGCGCGATCGTCGTCATGACTCGCGGTCACGGCGCGATCGTCGGTAGGACTCCGCGGTCACGGCGCGATCGTCGGTAGGACTCCGCGGTCACGGCGCAATCGTCGGTAGGACTCCGCGGTCACGGCGCGATCGTCGGTATGACTCCGTCTCCTGCGTTCGCGGACCTATCGCTCGCAATAACGGCGTTATCGGCACTCGCGAAGCGGAAAAATCACCGACGACCGGACCAAATCCCGTCCCGAAAAATTCCCGAGTCAAATGTAATCCCGTCCCGATAATCGGGAATATTTTTTTCCCGAAAAATTCCCGAAATTTCGGGACCCGTCCATCCCTAATCAAAATTCATTCCAGGAGAAGTTGAATTCAACTTTCACTAGTTAGGACAAGAATATAATTTACAAGAGATGGTAAAGACCCTATTACGTTTAAAAAAAGTGTAGCCTTTAGATTAATGTGTATAATGTAAAATGGTATAAATATGTACATAAGTAATCATCTGTTTGCAGAAAAAGTTATACAATTTCTGCCATAACATGTGATTGGGAGTGATACAAAATCAAAATTATTTGAGAATGGCACTTTTTATCAAGGATGACTTGCTATTAAAAGTCTTGTTACTGAGATCCCAAGCTTTAATTTAAATTTTCTAAACAATTTCTTACAATGATTAAACATGTCGGCTTGAGTTCCAACTAAATACACGGAATTTTCCAGCTTACAGACAGTGAAAAGAACTCAAAGATTCGCACTAAGATTCAGAGGATGCTGGCTGACCACGAATGGAAGAGTAATCGTTACCCACCAAGGAAGAGAGTTAAATTCGAGAAATTGGTAATTTGAAAATTTTCTTTTGAATGTCTCTTTCTTTTTTTTTAATTTTCTTTCTTTTTCTTTTAAATTTCTTAAATTTCTGTAACATTTTCTGTCATTCTTAGCCTTTGGTTCTTCTTAATTGTAAATTAAGCTTTAGAATTGGCAAATTCAAGTTTGCAAACAGAGGTGCCATTCTATTTTTTGGCTTGAATTAAGCATGAAATTTCAGTACTATTCACTCTTTTGTAAGGGTTACATATTACGAGTTAGCCAACATCATAACGCTTTATTCATCCAAACTAATGTTATTGGTTTAGTGTTTCTGTACCAAGTAAAAACAAATTTAACTGTATAATAACTTAATAACTAGGCTACCAGTAACCAAAGACATTTTTCAGGTTTATTTGTTTAAAGATCACTAAGATCTGAAACATATCTACATAGACTAAGTAGCTGTAAACATACCTTTTTTTTTAATATCATTAAAGAGTTGCGAGATGTTACCTAGTATTTGTCATTAAGAAATTAGGTTTGTCCTTTATGAAATGTAGCTATTTACACCGTATATAGGAGGTACCCAAACTCATTGTACTTTCCATGACAAGTTATAAGAGTGTTGTTTTATTTGCTTTTTCATCTTAATTAGTTAGTTCAATTGACTCCCCCCTAGGTGACATTGTGGTATACACAAAGGAAAAGTGACTAACACTAAAAGACAGAGTGACCAGTACTCACCCAACCTTTCACTGGCTTATAGGCCTCTGCCCTGGCCAACTGACCCCTTTCCTACCCTAGGAAGCCTACATATTAGGCCCATACTATACGGACGCTAAATGCGTCGCTTTAACGCCAAGGTTAGGGATAGGCACACTGCCAAAATCACACAAACATTGCGGACCTTGACACTGGCGTTGTGTTGTGGCTGTGCTGTTTACAACGATAACGTTTAGATAGTTTAGCTCAACATTCGTGAGTGGATAGTTGCATTGTCCTCGACTGTTGTGAATGTCTATTTTGCCTTAGTTATCTATAAATTAAATTGCTTGCTGCTGTTAGCCTCGTGCCATGCATGGCCAAAGTGTAAAACCTAGCGATAATTAATTAATTATATAGTTTATAAATACAAAATAACTGTGACTTTAAATTATACATAATGTACACTGTGAACAAAACAAGTTTTGTTTTCAAACATTAAATTTAGGCTAACTTGTTTATTAAATTTACAAATTTTAGAGTAAATATTGACATCACTTGGAGTAACTGGATATACTTGCAGCCTATTCTTTCTTAGGTAACAATAAGAATGAAATCAGATTTTAGGTAACCTCGGTCTTATACAAACAACGACTTTTCCGCGAAACATTTGAACGCAACTGCCTCTGCCTGTTTTACACAACTGTTTAGTTAGATAACGCACACGTTTGGCCAGCCCACAACCGAACCAAACAGTTTTTCAGTTTTTAACTGAGCGTTGCGTTAGCAGTCGTGCAGCTGTGAACAACGACAACTCCCTGAAACAGTTTTCGACAACTGCCAGTTCTCCACAACCGTTTAGTTGTGCAACCTCTGTCGCCACAACCGTTGTCAAACAACCATTTGCGTTTTCGTCCCACCTCTAGCCAAGGTTTAACGCATAATTAGTTTAGATTATATGTACGCAAAATGTGTCAAAGTTGTCAGTTTTTGCAACATAGCCAACAACATAGTTTTTGAACATAGAAATTCATCGTCACAGAATTTCAACTGACAACAATATGAGGAGGAATTAGGGGGTAAAAATAGCTTAGGGGCATTCCCGGGATGAGGTGCGTGAAGTGTAGAGCCGGACACGACTGCCGACACCCATTATGCATATTTATATTAAGAAAAACTACTAAGTGCAGAGGAAAACTCTGCAAGCGCCCGCTCGAGGGTTAACTAAACAAAATGGCTGCATGTTCCTTTTTTTATAGTTTTGGAAGGTGAATCAGACTATATTGACTCTCTGTTTTGTTCACTTCATGTTTATTTGCTGTAACTAATTTTAACAACATCAACGGCAAATATATCGTGCAAAAGATTCTCCACCTCCTAACCATAAATATGTGCTTTCGGCAGACCTAGCAAGATGTTTAGTCATTTAATTTACATTTGCGTTTTGCCTTTGGAGTATAGTTGGTTTTGCCTAAACCAAGCAATTTATACCTTTCTGCATTTTCAACAACTTTGTTTAAGTATGTTTTAAGGTCTGTTGACACTTGACAGTAAGAATTGTAAAGTAACTCGCTAGCATAATGATTGTTCGTTGGTTCTGCCATACTGTACGAAGATAAATGCTTCCAAAAATCTCATTAAAAAGCTTGACTGTTCGTGTTTTTAGAGAAAGCTCAATTTGAGCAGAGTAATGGAATACTTGCTAAAAATACCCGACTTGAGTACTCGCACAATGCTACTATATACTCACCAAAACTGCTACTGAGTGCAAGGCCCTCAGTGTTTACATAAACACCTTCAGCACGCCTCTTAGCTTGCAAAGTCTGACCAAATAGCATCAAACCAGCTCTCCTAGTCGTCTACCCTCCATTACAATGGTAGCTTCTCTCCAACTCCAAAGTTTTGTCTTTATCTTTTAATTCCTTGCTCAATGTCCCTTCCCACGTGTTTTGTTTTTTTCAATACCTCTCTTCTGATTCCAGCGGGATACCACTCAAATACCTCTAGCTATGTCTTGTTCTCTCTTCCGCTTGTTATGCACTGATCTCCATTTCCTTCTTTGATCAAAACTTCAATTGGGACTTGATTTGAGTGACAAATCTTATTTTTTGTATTGTTTCTGTCCACCTTACTCACAATATTCAATATTCCTTTAATTTACACATGATTCCAGCATATTCATTAGTGCATTGTTAACATGTAGTGGCTTTCAACATGTTTAATTTGTTACAGACGAAGAAATTAGCTGCCATAGCCTCTGAAAAGCTACGGAAGATAAATGAGCACCGATCAAAAATGCAAGATGTAAGTTATTGTTCTTTCTTAATAATAAATAAAAAATAAAAAAACGAGCATCTAACCGGCAGACTATTGAGACTTAGGAAACTCCCATTTACCTGGTTAGATTTTCACTCAAATGTCTCCTTAAAATTGTCAGATTTATTTTCCATTTTAATGTCTGAGTACTTGGATTTGCTGCTACACAGGGAAGGTAATAAAGTGTGTTTTGTATTGAAATGTCAATAGCGTATGAAATAAACAAATTTGTTAAATTTGATCATATTAAATCCCTAAACAAGCAAACTATAACAGTTTATCTATTATCCATTTAGAAATAACATGGGAAAATTACAGTTTTTTTGTAATTTTCTTTGTAAATTTGAGATAATTCAGATGTTTCCGAAGCTTGTTGTTGCATTTTCTCAACTTTACGTTTGTACAAGTTAGAATTGTTGGTCCAATGCTCAACCCCCAAGTGAATGGAGGACTGCACCTACTTATGGTCAGTGGGTCCCTTGGAACTAGTCGGGAGGAATACTGTAGCAAATCCACCAACCTTACCCCTATCCGCCACCCAGGGGACATGGTAATGTAAGACAACGTACTGTCTATGTAACTATTAGGCATACAACAATGCTCATTGTATGCCTAAAATGTATACTAAATTATTTGTTTTTTAGCTTAACAAAATAAAAATAGTCTGGAAAGAAATTGGAAAATGTTATGTTTCGGGGGTCAAATATCAGAAATCCTATTTCTACCCCATAAAACCCAGTTCCCTTAGTCCTATAATGCTGGTCCCAAATGCGTTCAAAAAAATGTAGGTTTACAATTTTGTACCAAATTTAATCAAAATCGGATAGGTTATATTCGAATTTTATTTTATATGAATTTGAACGGATGGTTTTTTGGTGGTCTCTGGGTACTTCAAAACGTAAAAAAGTAGATCGGTACTGGGTCTGGGTCTTATCGTGAGACTCACGGTAATAGCTTATTCCCTATATGGAAAATTTGCTAATGGGGAAATCCCGATTCTTGATTCCTATAAACCTCTGGACCTCAGGGATATCAAGGAACCGTCAGTTCTTGATACTTCGAATTCAATACCAGTTTCAGAATCTCCACCTATTCCGTTGAAATTGTAATCAATCATCTACAATTGCGTTGACGAAATAACCATCTACTCGCGCGATCTACTTACTTAATCTGGTCCTCTTTCTACCAATCGGTGTCGAGGTTACAAGGCGCTTCCATCTCTTCCTATCCGCAGTGATTGGTAGAGCCTCTCTAAGGGAGACTCCCCTTTCAGCAGAGCTTCTTCGACTCATGCGATCGTGATTTAAAATTGTGCAAACTTTACATACTTCTATGGCTTTAATACCTTGAGATTCATATTAAAAAATCAACATACGGTCAACTTTTGTAATTTACGTTTAAAGAATCAGTCAGGTGCCAATGGTTCCGGTATCGACAATCGATTTCGGTCATAAACCAGTACCGTTACAGACTTAAATAAGTCACTCTTTAATAGGCACCTTGATTCATGTTTTTTTTCTTAATGTTGTCAATATTGTTTTTGTATTTGTCTGTTTAGATTGTCTCACAGTTTATTGTGGAGGACAACCAAATGTTGATAACGGCTGGGAAGAATGACTTAGCAAAATTCTACCCGTACATCAGGAAGCCCAACAAAACATCAGAGGAAATCTGTTTCTACGCAGTTAGCGTAACCTATTTCTTGGCTGAATAATTTGTAACAAACAGTCAAAATCAATGAGTGATACCATAGACAACACAAGTAAGATCTGAAGCTTGTTTTACATAAGTCTAGTTCGTGTTGGTGACACTGGGCACTAGTGTTAATAACATTTTGGTTCTAATATATTACGACTTATTTTATAATTTGTGATTTATTTCTGGTTATATCGCCAGGGATATTTGTTACGAGTAGATTGTTTTATTTATGTTTAAATACTAACTTTCAGACCAATAATTAGATAGCATCATTGTTGTGATGGCATTATAAACAAATGTGATGTTTTTACAATTATTAGCCTTTAATAATATTTTATTGTAAAAAGAGATATGAAGGTGAGTTATATTTGTGATGTGGAAAGCGAATAGGGACCTCTTGTCGGGAATTTTCGATTTTGAGTTATATATATATTTGAACTCCTTATTAAATTCTAAATTACTTGGTGCACGTCTCATACATCTACGATTTTTTTTTTTAGTTATAGGACTTTGAAATTTCGTTATGGAAAAGGGTCATTTTGAGAAAAACCGTTTTGAAAATTACAAATACGTATAAAAATAGTTTTTTTCTTTTTTAAGAAACAATTTTGATATCAAAATAAAGCTTACAATGTCCTCTTTGGAGGCTATACCAATTTTTGTCTTAACTCACTGTAGTTTCCATTTAAATAATTGTTTTATCAAAGCATGTCATAAAAATCACCCTTCAGAAAAGGAACCTCTTGTCGGCCCTATGTTATTTCTCCATATCTTACCTCATAAAGGTACCTCTTGTCGGGACCAAAAATTTGTGAGATATTTGTTCTCCGTAAACTGAATTTGTAGATCTATAAATTTCCACTAGAATGCAGGACAATTAATCTTTTGGGCTAAAGTCTGTTTATAAAGTGAAAGATAAGAGGTCCCATTTCTCAGACCGTGCAGAGGCTAACAAAATGATTTATTTCGACCTTTTACATCTTCAATTCGATATTTTAACCGATACTGTCCTGTTCTATGTTGAGGTATAACAATCAATAAAACACCAAATTTCGATATTTTCAACCTTAATTACTTATATCGGCCGTACTGAAAATTTTGCATCGCCGACAAGAGGTCCCTTTTCGCTTTCCACATCACATCTAATGAAGTTCCTACTTCTGATATGCTTTGCAAAGTGTATGTGCAAACTAGCAAAATCAGTATTTAATATTATTGTTTTTGTTAATACCATCGTTCATATAAACCAGTATACAAACAACTGTTTGCAAATTAAATAGAGCTTTGGTAAAAAACGTAAATAGCTTATACAAAATACATGACCTTTTGTGGTAAAAAATGGGTTTAGGCCAGTATTTTTAGGATTCTGTGATGGACAGGTTAACAGTAGGCTTATCTTACCTTACAGACAAAAATATTTGAAAACGCTCAAATAAACATATAAACACAACAAAACTTATTAAATACTTTGGTTAAGAAAACAGAATAAAATATAAAATACAAATCAAATTGTTCACAAATGACATGACTAAATGAAACAGAGTGGTATACAAACCATAGACGTTTCGTAACATTTAACTGGCTGCATAGCGTAACATGATCCTGGCTACCAAAACGGCTGGTCTTAGCCTTTTACTAAAGCTACATAGATCACCTCACTATATTCCAGTGATGGTTGAAACCATAAATTTTGAATCTCAAAACCGAAACGGAAATTTAAAAATTCAAATCTCAAATCCCAAAACTGATACGAAAACTTTTTTATTTGCTCAGTCAAGGCTACAAAAAAATTAAGGTGATAATAAAATGTTTATTATCCAATCAAAACTGAAAGAAATTGGACCCAGACCCTGACATACTAATTGTTTGAATATGTGGCTTGTAAAATAAACCTTAGAATCATATATTCACAAACACTAAAATAAATTAAACCTCTTAAACTTACATAAATATAAATATTAGATCTAGATCTATTAAAAACATTCAGTGGTCAATATTTATTTGGTTTAGTTAATACCGATGAGAAACTGTATGGTAAGTAAGCTGTTCCTGTATTAATATTTATGATACCTATTGCAGTTTATACTCTATATTACTTGTTACATCAGTGTTACTGATGATTTGTTTGCTCCTTTTGCAGCCAGCTTGAGTGTAAGAGAAAAAAATGATGCCAAAAAATTTCAGCAATTTCAAAATTAGAATTTCCAAAATCTTTTATTTAGAATATTTTGAATCTTAAAACTTGAAACCGAAACTTTTCCAAAGTTTTTATGGTTTTGAGATTCAGTTTTGACACATCACCACTCTATTTTACACTCATCCTTTTCTCATATTTGTTTAAATACGCACTTAGGTGGCATCCCACCTCAATTAATCGATAATTTAGAATATGATTTATAATATTTCAGCAGTTACAACAAACCAAACATTGATAGATTTGCAAAACTTATGAATTTCTTATTTCTTCTTTAATCATTGTATTGTAAGTATTTTTGTAATTTATGATACCACCAGTGCCTTAAGGCAGTTATATTAAAAGATTTAAAAGACTGTTAGGGTTTAATGATTACACTAGTTAGTTAATAATAGTTCACAAGTGCCAAAATAATTTTTTACCGTGCCACCATTGGTAAAAAATCAAATAGAAAAATGATGCTCAAATTTGTTTACTGAACATCTTATATTCATTGATGTTAGATTTTAAAACTATTAGTTCTTAAAAAATGTGTCTACATCAAACCACAAGAATAACTGTTTCAAGAAAAAAACTGTTAAGTAGCTATACAGTAAAACCTCACTAACTCAACAGTCAACGGCTGACGGAGTGCACGCAAAACATTTGAACATTTAGTCTGAATTGTTGAATATTCAACATTTTTTAAAAAGATTTTTTACTCAAATATGTAAAAATACATGTAAGTACAGTAGTATGTTTATATGTAAAAATTAGTCTGTTATGTGTTAATTATATTAAAACCCATCAAAAATTTCAATGTTCTGGACTGGATAACTAGACAACCCCCAAACTCGACCATCTCTGGGTCCACATATCTTTGAGTTAAAGAGGTTTTTCTGTATGTTAAAATTATTTCTTTGTTACATCAAATAACTGTTTTGAAGTATGTGGCCCGGTTTAAGTTTCTACCCTGTCCACCTATATTATTATTTAGAAGATAGTTTTTGTGTTAAAATTAAGCAAAAAAATTGTTTATGTTTTGTTTTATTGTTATAAAGAGTATGTTTTAGTCACTTGTTTTACTGTTAGTTAATGACAGTATGCTGTAAGTTCCATAGCTATGCTACAGTTACCTATTGTTATTTTTTTAACTCCAATAAACTAAGTGTTCATAAAATAAACTATTGTTCTTGATGTTCCCTGATTTTTTCTCTATTTCTAATCTTTAAGTAGAAATTGATTGTTGAATAGGATATAAAGAAATAATATTCAATGCTCAGTATTTTGAAAAAAACTGTGAGTTCAAATAAGTTTTATGCTAAAATATTTTGAAAAAATGATTTAGTGTCAAATAAGTTGCCTTGACAAATATAAATATAGCATTATAAATCTTGATTAATCATTACTACTGTTAAAAGTTCTTTTTAAAATTTGGCATCAATATGTTTTTATATATTCATTATATTCAATAAGTATTGTAAGACTTTAACGACAAAACAACTAGTCCAGTGAATAGAGGTCTGTTAACTTACAAACGGTCCGGTACTTCTAATTTTTTTTATATGTTGTTTAGGATGGTAAGTAGGTGTTAAAAATGCAAAATAAAAGAATGGGTAAATTTTAGTGATGTGACGAGTTGAGTTGGCGAGTCGAGTTGACTCGAGTCATCTCATTCACAACTCGAGTTGGTACGAACTCGTACGGGAATTGCCGAAGCTACACAAACTCGAAGCGTGACGAGTCCGACTCGCAAAACTTAAACGCTAGTGGCTCACAACCTCAAAGCAAGTCAAGAAACCGAACTCATATGGAGAAAGCCGAACCTTTACGAACTCGGGAATTAACGAGTTGACTCGGTTGACTCGCGAAACGTAAACGCTATTGGCTGAATGTGAGTTGAGCCGACTCGCCAAACTATAACCCTATTGGCTGCGCTGCAAGTCGACCTGAACTCGACCGATGGAAGCCGAAGTTTCATGATGATACCGAGTTGAGTCTGACTCGAGTTGACATAGTCCTGACTCGAGTCAAGAAAATACTCGACTCGTCACACCACTAGTCAATTTGTTTGCTTTTGTGACTTTTAGCTGTAATTCTCAGTTAATAATACCCCACAGCAAACCTGCAGACTAAGCGAATTTCCATCTACTGGGTGGAATTCCACTAAATTATTCCCTCAAAATTGTTAGATTTATTTCCTATTTAAATATCATTAATTTTAATGAGTACTTAGGTTTGCTGCTACAGGAAAGAAAATAGGGATTTTCAATTAAAATATCAATAGCTTAGTATGAAGTAAACCAAATTTCATAAAAATATGTCCATAGACAAGCAAGCTACTGTACAATAGTTTATTTATTCTCCATGAGATAAACATTGTAATTTTAAATTCAAAATTTTTTATAATATCTCCGTAGCAGTTAGGCATAAAACAATGCTTCAGTATACTAAATTATTTTGAGCTCTACAAAATGGTTTGGAAAGAAATTGCAAAATTTTATACCACAGGGTGAAAAATTAGAAAACCCCACTTTTATCCCATTAAACCCCCACTCCCATAGTCCAAACATGCTGGTTCGCAAACTCGTTCGAATAAATGTAGGTTTACACGTTTATACCAAGTTTCATCAAAATTAGATAATTTTTGCTCGAGTTTTTTATTTTAAATAAATAAATGAATCTTAAAAAATGTACTTGCTGTGTTGGTGGGTTGTTTGAAATTTAACAACTTCTCTCACCAGTGGATTTTGTAAGGGAAAGGGAATATATATAACTTCTTGATCAGCATTGTACGTTTTATTAAATTTACGGAAAGTAAATAACACCTAAAACATATACAGGGTGATTGGTACTCAGTGTGACAGAAATTTTTTGGTGTAAGTACAAAGTAAATGCAGTGTGATGATGCATATCAAATGTTCCAAGTCTAAAAATAGCTTCCCAAAGAATTATTTGATGATTTTCAAAAATAACCATGGTTTTAAACTTAATACAGCGATTTCTCAATTACCTGTATATGGATTTGAGTAGAAAATGTCATTTTCGTGTTCTATATTAGATTTTGAACAAGAATAATAGAAAATGACGATGATCAGTTGTAAAAACTCTATTGGAAGTAGATTCAAAGATAAAAATAAGATGTTTGAAAAAAATTTAAAAAAACAATGGTCTATTGCATTTTTCACACCCTGTATACAAGAAAGTGTCGGAATATGTAAAAAATTAAAAAACTGTGCCGTTTTATAAGCCGTTCTTGACACACCAAACAATGAGTAAACATATTGTTGTTTTTACATAACAATTGCTAGGGAAAAGTGAAAAATGCTTTATAAAGTAAAATACAGTCCTTATTTAATACAGTAGTAAACATAGGGAATAAACAGTACTGTACATTACAATGGAAACAATTACGGTGCGTATAATATCAATAAATACAGTATCCAATGAAGAACTACACTGTTCTGTCTATAGAGTACAGCGCAATGAGACGTTTGGATTAGTGGACGTTCGGATTACGGGGGTTCGGTTTAAAGAGGTTCTACTGTATATATAGTTAACGCGGAGGAGGGAGAATTGTGCATTTTGCATTTTTAACACCTACTTATCATCCTAGACAACATATAAAAAATTTAGAATTACTGGACCGTATGTAAGTTAACCCCCCTATTTTCATCTCTATTTACTGGACTAAACCTTATATTTTGGTATCCCTGTTTTCTTTACTTCATTGCCTAACACTGATATGTGTCATTGCATTGTTATCAACAAGGTTTAGTTTTTTTGATAAATTTATTGTAAATAGGGATGGATGAGATTGGACTTTTAGTTCGAGACGAGGCAGGATTTTTTATGTCTCATAAAATTTTGAGATGAGATCGAGACAGGATTTCCCTTCTCATACATAAAGGAAAATGCAAACAATTCATTTAACCTCATTTTATAGCATTGTTAAATAAATAACTACTGATTTATGACCAGAAGACGGGTTTAAACAATAATAATAATAATAGGCAAGAATATTTTAATAAAAAACATTAGTATAAAAAAAATATTAATTAGGCCTGCCTTATTAAAAATAACCCTTTCACATAGGAGATATGGTGATATCAGTTAGAATATAGTTCACATTTGAAAAATACAAAATTTATCAGTCTTACTAGTATCAAGTAAAGATTTTTCAGTCTTGTGTTATTTTTAGAATGATTTTGGAGTGACTTTCTTTGGCTATGTTTACTAACACTTTTTACTTTTTTTTTTTTGTTTGCTATGTAAAACATGTCTCACACTGCCTACACTTAGCAAAACTTCTCATCATTTTCGATGTCAAAACAAAAAATATATAAAACGAAGTAATTTTTACAAGTAAATAATTAATTGAAGAACGCCTTCGCAAAAGAAACGCAACAACAACGCGTTTCTGTGTTGTGGGTATTGCATTGACTTTCTGAAGGAGTTTTAATTTTTTTTGTATACACTCGACTCAATCAAAATAAAATCTCGTCTCGTGGAACGAGATTTAATATTTCTCGAGAATTCGAGACCCACCCATCCCTAATTGTATATAAGACACAACAATTGGCATTTCGTTCCCCCAATCTTGTAGAGTTAGAGTAATACGTTGAAAGTAAATCGTTGCAAAGACCACGGATTCAGTTTTCTGTTGGGTGTTTTTTTTCTTTCAAACAAAGCTCAAATTGCATGTTTCTGTCGTTATGTAAATAGTATTAATATTATCCACAAATTTGTTATGCGTGTAGGCCCGCAGTAAATTGATTGTAAAAATTGTGAATTTGCCATGAATAAATAAAATAATATAAAATTAAGTGACGTATTTATGTTTACTGTGTGCGTGTCCGTGTATGTGTTTACATAACCCCCTTGACTACTTCCAAGTGACCGATTTTTGTTGAAGATTGATTTTCTTGACAATAGCATCTGCGTGATCATGACACAACCGCAACCATGGTCGAAACCTTGGTTGTAGTAAAGAAGAACTAGATTTGAACTGACGAAAATAAAGGTATACTAAACCATTATATTGTTTAAAATCGGTTCCTTTTGAATTTTACTCTAGTTTCGATTTTGGGCATTGTTTTGGTTGGTTAAAAAACTCCTAAAGATTTTTGGGACAAACATAATTAATAAGTGTGTTGTAAACTCTTTAAAAAGAGACATCCGGCTTTGAGATGGAGAAAAAATATATTTTAAAGTGTTTCGTACCTATTAAAATTGCTCGTGGGAAATTACCGTCTTCCTGAACCTTGCTATCTTCTAACATTAGTCTTTCACAATGATGAAACTGGACCCTCGACTCCCATAAAAGTAACCAGCGTTGGACTACATATGAACTGAGCTGCTGATAAAAACCACCAATCCCTGACCAATGGTCAAATACCATCGACTTTTTGATACTAGTAGATTGATGTGATACAAAAGATTCTATAGGCCCTATCTTAAAATGAGCCATCTTACCAGTTTAACTTGGTTAAAAATATTCGACAAAAATTAATGTACATCAACGCAATCCGTCAGTAACTCTCTTCAACTATTTACGTCCATTTTGATTTAAAAACAGGCGTCAACTTATGGACATGGAACGTCTAGTTCAGTAGTTCTATCACTAGTAAACACTAATGTGTACCTACAGCAACTTTTTAACCACACCAACTTGAAAAGAAAACTTATTGTAAACTTACTAGTGGCCTGTAGGGGCCATAGCCCCTAATTTAGACTACAATAATAAAAAAACGTAATATAAAAAGACAAATACTTGCAACATGTTTTTAAAATTATAATTTTTACGTTACTTAAAATTAACAGTGTTTCTTGTTTTATATCTTGCTTTCCCTTCCGTTGGAGTCGTATATTATTTGCTTCTGATGTGTCAATGAAATACAATTGTCCATATGAAGGCAACTTCCCATTTCGCTGTAGTAAGTAGGAAATATACCTATGAATTTGTCCCTGAATTTTTAAACAGTAAGGCCCATTTCCCGGAATCTCTTTTTGTGTAGCGGAAAGCGACGCAAAAGCCATTGCACTGTTGTATTGCCTTAACCTTAACAGTTCTTTTAGTTCGTCATTTACTTGTGGTTGTGGCATGTTAATGAGTCCATTGTCGCAACATGTGTTGAAATGTCCATTTGTGGCCTCCTCTCGTTGCGCCCCAATG